CACTTGGTTCAAAGGCTCCTATACATTCACTTAACATCTCCCAAAATCTCTCTCTCTCCTCTGCATTCCTCTCTTCTCCAGGTGCATACACGCTTATTATGACCCACTTCTCGCATCCAACCTTTACTTTAATCCACATAATTCTTGAATTTACACATTCATATTCTCTTTTCTCCTTCCATAACTGATCATTTAACATTACTGCAACCCCTTCCTTTGCTCTAACTCTCTCAGATAATATTGTAATTTTTCTTATTAATTTTATTAATATCGAATACAGAGCTTTGAAAAAGTAACTTTAATATTATGCATTATCATAAGTTTAGGGATATATTTATTCGTATAACCAGAAATGGTTATAAATGTGACCATAATTTTTAAAGGGGTGGATCGGTAAACCAGCGGAAGGCCTCAGTCAGATGACCAAAAAATCTAAAGGCGGGTCATCATCTGACTAAGATCCGTGTCAGGAAACACTTGTCCTGTTTTCTGACGAACCTTACCTAACCTAATCTAATTATTCTTATATCAGGTTCACATATCAGTATCATCTGTGCTTTTAATAATATCTTTGATGATATTAATCTTCAGAGTAAATCGGAAATATCACATGAACTTTATTTTTTATTTTTTTCCACAAGTATATGGAATATAGAAAAGGTTGTTTAACTATTTATATTAAATTTATATACACAATGTTAAGTCTATATATTCTGACTGAAACATGAAAGTGATAACTCTTCTTATCCTGAAAAACAAAACATTCTGTTGTGAATAAGGTCATTTTAAATCCTAAGAGATACATCAAATCTGCATACACGAATCACTTCCCATGCAAGTAAAAAAACTTACACAGTATACGGCGCCCAAAACTGTTCAACAACCTCCATCACAAATAAAGGTGAATAATAACAGAACTGGACAGATACCTATAGTTAGTGCCCGATCAACCAGGTTATGGTTCGTATATCGGACTGTGTGTGGCCAGCAGTAACAACCTTCTTAATCAGGCCCTGATCCACCTAGTGGTCTGGTAGGTGACCGGGCCATAGGGGTGTTGACAAAGAGAACCTCCAGGTAGTTTCCAGGTGGCAAATGGTGAGAAGTAAGGAACGGTCGCTTGTTTCTGCAGTATAGTTCCAAATGGTTCCTGGCATTGCTAGTATTTTCACTGTTACAATATGTTCATGCTTTAATATCTTCTCTCAGTTTTTTTCTATTTGAGTTTTCATATAAATACCCAAAGGAATATGATCCACATTCGTGATTTTTAAGTATAACTGTATAAGCAAATAATATATTTCATACTTTAGTAGTGTGAGTAATTGGTCCATGGATTTTATACATATTCTGAGAGGAAATATTGGAATATTTTTAGTGTCTTGAACAAGTTACAAAAAATATGAGAAGAGAGTTACTAAAAATATGTCTCAGCTTTACAATAAACTATCACGATATAATAATGAAGAACTAAGCTCTCACTCAACCCAGAAGACGCGCTTTTTTAGTCATTCATTCAGAAACGGAGTTCTCTTTATGTACTCTGATTGGGATCCAGACTTACTTTATCTTCCTTCACTCAATACATATATTTCAACCTCATAATTGAAACTTTTGTATTATTCTAATCAAATTTTGTCTCCTATTTCCCAAGTGCAAAATAACCCTTTTAGATTTATTGTTCCCAATCTGTGTTCAAAAAAACCTGTAGTATATTTTTTCCATTTTTTTACTGCCTAACGTAAATAAAAGTCCTGGATCCTATGGGTATACGACCTGATTAGTCTAAAGGCATTTATACTTTTAAAACAGAAAAAGAAACCACTCTAGGACCAGTTTGCACCTTCATATTAAATGTAGAGACAATACTAAATTTATTACAAGGACACAAAAACTCACCTATACAAACATATATATATATATATATATAATATATATATAATATAATATATATATATATATATATATATATATATATATATATATGAGATGAATCATTGAATTGATGAGGGGAAAAGGATGAGTGGTGCACTTAGGAGTCTGTGAAAGGAAAGAACTTTGCTCCTGGAAGCAAAGAGGGGAATGTATGAGAGTATAGTTTTATCAACACTCTTGTATGGGTGTGAAGCATGGGTGGTGAATGTTGCAACGAGAAGAATGCTGTAAGCAGTAGAGGTGTCATGTCTGAGGGAAATGTGTGGTGTGAATATAATGCAGAAAATTCGTAGTTTGGAAATTAGGAGGTGAGGGATTACCAAAACTTATCCAGAGGGCTGAGGAGGGGTTATTGATGTGGTTCGGCCATGTATGGAACAAAACAAAATGACTTCGAGAGTGTATAAATCTGTAGTGGAGGGAAGGCGGGGTAGGGGTCGGCCTAAGAAGGGTTGGAGGGAGGGGGTAAAGGAGGTTTAGTGTGCGAGGGGCTTGGACTTTGACCAAGCGTGCATAAGCGTATTTGATAAGAGTGAATGGAGACAAAAGGTTTTTAATACTTGACGTGATGTTGGAGGGTGAGCAAAGTAACATTTATGAAGGGATTCAGGGAAACCGGCAGGCCGGACTTGAGTCCTGAAGGAGTGGTGGTAATGTAATGTAGTGTAAAGCACCCTTCTGGCAAGACAGTGATGGAGTGAACGATGAAAGTTTTCCTTTCTCGGGCCACCCTGCCTTGGTGGTAAAAAAAAATGTATAATATATATATATATATATATATATATATATATATATATATATATATATATATATATATATATATATATATATATATATATATATATATATTTAACAAGTCGGGCGTCTGCCACCGAGGCAGGGTGACCCAAAAAGAAAGAAAATCTCCAAAAAGAAAATACTTTCATCATTCAACACTTTCTCCTCACCCACACATAATGAATGTTTTTGCAAAGGTGCCCAGAAATACAACAGTTTAGATGCATATAAGTATAAAGATACACAACATATCCCTCCAAACTTCCAATATCCCAAACCCCTCCTTCAGAGTGCAGGCATTGTACTTCCCATTTCCAGGACTCAAGTCCGGCTATATAAAAAATAACCAGTTTCCCTGAATCCCTTCACTAAATATTACCCTGCTCACACTCCAACAGCTCGTCAGGTCCCAAATACCATTCGTCTCCATTCACTCCTATCGAACACACTCACGCACGCCTACTGGAAGTCCAAGCCCCTGGCCCACAAAACTTCCCTTACCCCTTCCTTCCAACCTTATCGAGGACGACCCCTACCCCGCCTTCCTTCCCCTACAGATTTATACGCTCTCCATGTCATTCTACTTTGATCCATTCTCTCTAAATGACCAAACCACCTCAACAAACCCTCTTCAGGTCTCTGAGTAATACTTTTATTAACTCCACACCTTCTCCTAATTTCCACACTCCGAATTCTCTGCATAATATTTACACCACACATTGCCCTTAGACAGGACATCTCCACTGCCCCCAACCGCCTCCTCGCTGCAGCATTTACAACCCAAGCTTCACACCCATATAAGAATGTAGGTACTACTATTTTTTCATACATTCCCTTCTTTGTCTCCATAACGTTTTTTGTCTCCACATATACCTCAATGCACCACTTGCCTTTTTTCCTTCATCAATTCTATGATTAACCTGATCCTTCATAAATCCATCCGCTGACACATCAACTTCCAAATATCTGAAAACATTCAGTTCTTCGATACTCCTTCTCCCCAATTTGATATCCAATTTTTCATTATCTAGATCATTTGATACCCTCATCACCTTACTCTTTTCTATGTTCACTTTCAACTTTCTATCTTTACAACATACAACCTACTCTACTACATATCAAAATCCCTCACCTTTACTTATTTACATTAGCTCACTAGCACACTGCTGCTAGTGAGTAAAACACTATCATTTATAAATAGGGAGGCTCCATGACAGCCCCCCCTTTCTGCAGGCTGTACGAGTACTCTCCCGAAACACTGCACACTAGGGCCTTACATGAGAGCACTTAAACCAATAAAATAACCTTCGGTATAAATTTACAAAAAAAAAAAAAAAAAAAAAAAAAACTCACCTACTTACACCAACGCCTAAGCATGGCGACTTCCCGTACTGACAAGTACACACCTCTCCTGCTCCTGTCCTGTCCTGGCTACTATTCAGATCTAGTATGCATGCGATTTCAGAACAAATCCCGGCAACTGATATTATATATGGATCGTTTTTTTTAAAATATTCTCTACAATACACTATGTAATAATACCTAAAAGTATGATTCAGAAAGTGAACCATCAAGATTTAGCGATACACACTATTGTTTTCCAATAGTTATTTTCAAAGGCATTTAAAACATTTATTTAATTGATGGAAAATTTGAAGAAAATATTTTGGATTTCATATTAAGTTCATAGGTTAATTAATGCTAATGCTAAAGATTACGTTTTTAAATTACATTATTTTGGTCTCAGTAAATATAACATTTAAAAAGAAGTTTAGTTTTCATATTTTGTATTATACGTATCTGGACTGGTTTCTTATTATCTTTTCCCTGATTAATGAATACGTTTAACATTAATTAGCAATGGAAAAATAAGAGAAATCTTTTCTTTACTGAAATATTTTGGACAGAAACTGAAAGTGTTAAAAAATTATAAATTGAGAGGTATCCATGACTCGTTGTTTACACATTGATAATTCAGATACTTTTCTTACTTTATGGTACTACTGATTGTTTTCAGATTAATGAAGTACCTTTTGATCTCTAAACAATTATTCTCCAAACAAATAAATGCCAAGAAGTGTCACTTTCATGACTGCTGTGATTACAATATTTTTACTGTAGTATAATAAAGAAGTATATAGCTTATTGACAAAGTTGATATCTTCCGTCAATTGTAAAATGAAATTTTTTGGCACACTTCATATATTTTTAAATATCAGGAAAAGTAAAATATATTTCATTGATGCATATTTATTTACATAACTTTCATGAATAAGTTGTAATATGTAATATAATATCAATGTCACTGTTCATTTAACCATAGACAGGAACTGGAGTGTAGGTCTGGTGCGTTGGGTGCTGGGCCTGGCCCTGGTAAGTCACTTCAGCCACGTAGCCAGAGTCACCGTTAACAGTGTAGACTACAGTTTCAACACGACCATCGGGAAGAAGCACGTGATAAGAGCCATGGGTGTTGTCGCCGTCACGAGACTCTTGTTGACCGTAGTCGTTACCAGACTGGTCATCTTTGACGGTCCAATTGAAATCGTACCGAGCAGGAGCCTGAAAAAAGAAGAAAGAAGTGTTATGTTTTCTGTGCTGAATATTGTTTTCTTGGAAATAGCCAGGATCATGACATCTTATTATCATGCTCATCTTAAGCCTTTTTTTAAATATAGCTTCAAAAATATATAGAAAATCTTGTCCAATTTGGACGATATTTACCTGAGGACCAGGACGCCGTATGTTGGGGTAGGTGACGTATAGGGTGGATGAGACTGAGGGTGGGACATCGTCCCTGCTACAAAAAGTGCCACTAAAACAACCTGCCAAAGTTCGTAATTTTATATAAGAAAATCCTTTTCATTATATTAAGAACTTTTAGAGAAATTTATATTAATGAAAAAGACGACGAGTTTAAAAATTAGACAGCAAAACTGCAAGTATTATTGCCAGAAAAATCGCCAGCACCTCATGTTATTTTATTCTTTGTCACTGTAAGAAATGTGAGCATAATAATACTCTGTAGACTGAAATATTAATACGTTACACATGGGTACAGTAAATATAACACTATCACTATACCTTGAGAAACATGTTTAGTGACTAAGTGGGATGAGACTGATGCTTCGGCATGAATCCAGTGACTTATATACCAGGAGCCTCACTCCAAGTTCATGACGTCACAACCTTGACAGTTACTTGTGTCGTCCCCAATACAATTATATTTTAACTCTGCTGCATTTTCTTAGAATAACAAAATATTTTATTTTTAATATTATTATTATCACACTGGCCGATTCCCACCAAGGCAGGGTGGCCCGAAAAAGAAAAACTTTCACCATCATTCACTCCATCACTGTCTTGCCAGAAGGGTGCTTTACACTACAGTTTTTAAACTGCAACATTAACACCCCTCCTTCAGAGTGCAGGCACTGTACTTCCCATCTCCAGGACTCAAGTCCGGCCTGCCGGTTTCCCTGAATCCCTTCATAAATGTTACTTTGCTCACACTCCAACAGCACGTCAAGTATTAAAAACCATATGTCTCCATTCACTCCTATCAAACACGCTCACGCATGCCTGCTGGAAGTCCAAGCCCCTCGCACACAAAACCTCCTTTACCCCCTCCCTCCAACCCTTCCTAGGCCGACCCTACCCCCGCCTTCCTTCCACTACAGACTGATACACTCTTGAAGTCATTCTGTTTCGCTCCATTCTCTCTACATGTCCGAACCACCTCAACAACCTTCCTCAGCCCTCTGGACAACAGTTTTGGTAATCCCGCACCTCCTCCTAACTTCCAAACTACGAATTCTCTGCATTATATTCACACCACACATTGCCCTCAGACATGACATCTCCACTGCCTCCAGCCTTCTTCCTCGCTGCAACATTCATCACCCACGCTTCACACCCATATAAGAGCGTTGGTAAAACTATACTCTCATACATTCCCCTCTTTGCCTCCAATTACAAAGTTCTTTGTCTCCACAGACTCCTAAGTGCACCACTCACTCTTTTTTCCCTCATCAATTCTATGATTCACCTCATCTTTCATAGACCCATCCGCTGACACGTCCACTCCCAAATATCTGAATACGTTCACCTCCTCCATACTCTCTCCCTCCAATCTGATATTCAATCTTTCATCACCTAATCTTTTTGTTATCCTCATAACCTTACTCTTTCTGTATTCACCTTTAATTTTCTTCTTTTGCACACCCTACCAAATTCATCCACAATCTCTGCAGCTTCTCTTCAGAATCTCCCAAGAGCACAGTGTCATCAGCAAAGAGCAGCTGTGACAACTCCCACTTTGTGTGTGATTCTTTATCTTTTAACTCCACGCCTCTTGCCAAGACCCTCGCATTTACTTCTCTTACAACCCCATCTATAAATATATTAAACAACCACAGTGACATCACACATCCTTGTCTAAGGCCTACTTTTACTGGGAAAAAAATTTCCCTCTTTCCTACATACTCTAACTTGAGCCTCACTATCCTCGTAAAAACTCTTCACTGCTTTCAGTAACCTACCTCCTACACCATACACTTGCAACATCTGCCACATTGCCCCCCTATCCACCCTGTCATACGCCTTTTCCAAATCCATAGATGCCACCAAAACCTCTCTAGCCTTATCTAAATACTGTTTACTTATATGTTTCACTGTAAACACCTGGTCCACACACGCCCTACCTTTCCTAAAGCCTCCTTGTTCATCTGCTATCCTATTCTCCGTCTTACTCTTAATTCTTTCAATTATAACTCTACCATACACTTTACCAGGTACACTCAACAGACTTATCCCCCTATAATTTTTGCACTCTCTTTTATCCCCTTTGCCTTTATACAAAGGAACTATGCATGCTCTCTGCCAATCCCTAGGTACCTTACCCTCTTCCATACATTTATTAAATAATTGCACCAACCACTCCAAAACTATATCCCCACCTGCTTTAACTTTTCTATCTTATCCCATCAATCCCGGCTGCTTACCCCCTTTCATTTTACCTACTGCCTCACGAACTTCCCCACACTCACAACTGGCTCTTCCTCACTCCTACAAGATGTTATTCCTCCTTGCCCTATACACGAAATCACAGCTTCCCTATCTTCATCAACATTTAACAATTCCTCAAAAATATTCCCTCCATCTTCCCAATACCTCTAACTCTCCATTTAATAACTCTCCTCTCCTATTTTTAACTGACAAATCCATTTGTTCTCTAGGCTTTCTTAACTTGTTAATCTCGCTCCAAAACTTTTTCTTATTTTCAACAAATTTTGTTGATAACATCTCACCCACTCTCTCCATTTGCTCTCTTTTTACATTGCTTCACCACTCTCTTAACCTCCTCTTTTTCTCCATATACTCTTCCCTCCTTGCATCACTTCTACTTTGTAAAAACTTCTCATATGCTAACTTTTTCTCCCTTACTACTCTCTTTACATCATCATTCCACCAATCACTCCTCTCCCTCCTGCACCCACTTTCCTGTAACCACAAACCTTCTGCTGAACACTCTAACACTACATTTTTAAACCTACCCCATACCTCCTCGCCCCCATTGCCTATGTTTCTCATTAGCCCATCTATCCTCCAATAGCTGTTTATATCTTACCCTAACTGCCTCCTCTTTTAGTTTATAAACCTTCACCTCTCTCTTCCCTGATGCTTCTATTCTCCTTGTATCCCATCTACTTTTACTCTCAGTGTAGCTACAACTAGAAAGTGATCTGATATATCTGTGGCCCCTCTATAAACATGTACATCCTGAAGTCTACTCAACAGTCTTTTATCTACCAATACATAATCCAACAAAACTACTGTCATTTCGCCCTACATCATATCGTGTATACTTATTTATCCTCTTTTTTCTTAAAATACGTATTACCTATAACTAAACCCCTTTCTATACAAAGTTCAATCAAGGGCTCCATTATCATTTACACCTGGCACCCCAAACTTACCTACCACACCCTCTCTAAAAGTTTTCTCTACTTTAGCATTCAGGTCCCTACCACAATTACTCTCTCACTTGGTTCAAAGGCTCCTATACATTCACTTAACATCTCCCAAAATCTCTCTCTCTCCTCTGCATTCCTCTCTTCTCCAGGTGCATACACGCTATATGACCCACTTCTCGCATCCAACCTTTACTTTAATCCACATAATTCTTGAATTTACACATTCATATTCTCTTTTCTCCTTCCATAACTGATCATTTAACATTACTGCAACCCCTTCCTTTGCTCTAACTCTCTCAGATAATATTGTAATTTTTCTTATTAATTTTATTAATATCGAATACAGAGCTTTGAAAAAGTAACTTTAATATTATGCATTATCATAAGTTTAGGGATATATTTATTCGTATAACCAGAAATGGTTATAAATGTAAACCATAATTTTAAAGGGGGGATCGGTAAACCAGCGGAAGGCCTCAGTCAGATGACCAAAAAATCTAAAGGCGGGTCATCATCTGACTAAGATCCGTGTCAGGAAACACTTGTCCTGTTTTCTGACGAACCTTTCCTAACCTAATCTAATTATTCTTATATCAGGTTCACATATCAGTATCATCTGTGCTTTTAATAATATCTTTGATGATATTAATCTTCAGAGTAAATCGGAAATATCACATGAACTTTATTTTTTATTTTTTTCCACAAGTATATGGAATATAGAAAAGGTTGTTTAACTATTTATATTAAATTTATATACACAATGTTAAGTCTAAAATATTCTGACTGAAACATGAAAGTGATAACTCTTCTTATCCTGAAAAACAAAACATTCTGTTGTGAATAGGGTCATTTTAAATCCTAAGAGATACATCAAATCTGCATACACGAATCACTTCCCATGCAAGTAAAAAAACTTACACAGTATACGGCGCCCAAAACTGTTCAACAACCTCCATCACAAATAAAGGTGAATAATAACAGAACTGGACAGATACCTATAGTTAGTGCCCGATCAACCAGGTTATGGTTCGTATATCGGACTGTGTGTGGCCAGCAGTAACAACCTTCTTAATCAGGCCCTGATCCACCTAGTGGTCTGGTAGGTGACCGGGCCATAGGGGTGTTGACAAAGAGAACCTCCAGGTAGTTTCCAGGTGGCAAATGGTGAGAAGTAAGGAACGGTCGCTTGTTTCTGCAGTATAGTTCCAAATGGTTCCTGGCATTGCTAGTATTTTCACTGTTACAATATGTTCATGCTTTAATATCTTCTCTCAGTTTTTTTTTTATTTGAGTTTTCATATAAATAAACCCCAAAGGAATATGATCCACATTCGTGATTTTTAAGTATAACTGTATAAGCAAATAATATATTTCATACTTTAGTAGTGTGAGTAATTGGTCCATGGATTTTATACATATTCTGAGAGGAAATATTGGAATATTTTTAGTGTCTTGAACAAGTTACAAAAAATATGAGAAGAGAGTTACTAAAAATATGTCTCAGCTTTACAATAAACTATCACGATATAATAATGAAGAACTAAGCTCTCACTCAAACCCAGAAGACGCGCTTTTTTAGTCATTCATTCAGAAACGGAGTTCTCTTTATGTACTCTGATTGGGATCCAGACTTACTTTATCTTCCTTCACTCAATACATATATTTCAACCTCATAATTGAAACTTTGTATTATTCTAATTCAAATTTTGTCTCCTATTTCCCAAGTGCAAAATAACCCTTTTAGATTTATTGTTCCCAATCTGTGTTCAAAAAAAACCTGTAGTATATTTTTTCCATTTTTTTACTGCCTAACGTAAATAAAAAATCCTGGATCCTATGGGTATACGACCTGATTAGTCTAAAGGCATTTATACTTTTAAAACAGAAAAAGAAACCACTCTAGGACCAGTTTGCACCTTCATATTAAATGTAGAGGACAAAAACTAAATTTATTACAAGGACACAAAAACTCACCTATACAAACATATATATATATATATATATATATATATATATATATATATATATATATATATATATATATATATATATATATATATATATGAGATGAATCATTGAATTGATGAGGGGAAAAGGATGAGTGGTGCACTTAGGAGTCTG